GCATAACCAATAAAGGGTGTTACATCTTGAGATAAAGTTTTTTAGCATATAATTATTGTTACTTGATGAGTCTTTAAATAAAGCAATTCGTCTTATTAAGTTTTCTTTCCAGTAAGTTTTTCAAACGTATAATTCGTCTAAAAATAAAAATTTGTTAAATTGTAGTATTAATTTTATAACACAAAAAGGTACCTTTTTTCGTGGTTCATAAAAAGTGGGTATTTATACGACCACTCGATTTCAAATTACTATGTATAAAATTTATGTTAAGCATCGCCAAGAGAATGATGAACTTACTCTTCAAAATTTTAAAGTTAACATCATAAAATCACACGATAATATCGTTGTGATTGCGTTGATATTAATCGATGCAAAGCACAATAACTTATAATTAATAATTTGATTCTCGTTATTATTTGGAATGTATTCTATATAATGAAAATATTTAATTAATCTGTGTTTTTATTGAAAATTATTGATTTTATTCATTTTACTTACCACTCTAAATAATTGAAAAATATATATTGTCATTATTCGGTAATTTCAAAAGATGTAATTTTAATTATATTATTTATCTTTAATATTTTACTTTCAAAATCGTATGCATATAAAGCATAGTTCAATATAAATCATTTTTTATAATAGGTTCAAAATCCCTCCTTTTGTTGGCGCTGTTGGCGCTTTTACTTCATATTAACGTAGTTTCATTAATTCAATATAACCTTTGGGCGCATTTGTATCATTTGTATCACGATCACCATTATAATTCGAATCCTAAGTTCTGTGTAATTGTTTTGATCCCAAAAAGCTTTCACCTGTTATTAATTCCCACATAATCATACTAAAGCTATAAATATCTGAAGCTTGAGAATATTTTTTATAATTTTGACCTTGAAAAATCTCCGGAGCAATATGAGGCAAAATTACATAACATCTCATATCATTGTCTGATTCAGTTATTTTACTAATTTCCAAAATCACTTAAAACTATATCATATTCATTTCACAAAGAATTTTTCCACTATGAAAATCTTGAATAATTGTTTGCTGATGAATATAATTAAGTTCATTTATAATTTGTTTTAAAATATTTAATTTTTTACAAAACAACACTTAGAATGAATACTTGCTGTATATTTTTGGATACACGTGATTATAATATCTATTTCTTTGTAATGTTTCTTTTAAATAAAATGTTAGGATATCACGTCAGCCATGTGATTGTTCTGAAATTTTGAATGGAAACGATATATCAAGTCGATTACGATCATATAAGAAAAGCATACGCGAAATTATTAATATCAAATAATTTCAGTATTCACCTCATAATTTATAAATAGATCGATTGAAATTTGACTTTTACTTTTAAAATAAAATAAGTTTAATCCTTGCTTATAATTTTAGAAAATGTTGGATATATACAGTATCAATTGATTTGAATTTGAATTAATCACCACTCAATTTTATATCGTGTAAAACAGGCGCGTCTAATTCGCCATAATTACAATAAATAAAATATTACATAAATAAATCATACTTTTTCACAACGTAACATATTACGTAAGGATTAAAAAGTAAATACTTTTTATTTGAAATAAAATAAGTATTGAAAAAATATTAACTAACTTGGAATACCTCATAATCATCAGCTTGAAATTGACCTTGTGGAATATCAATTTTAGGATAGGAAGATGGGTTTACAGCATACCAATTATTATTATAAAAATAAATATCATTACTGCCAATATTACCAAATACTGGACCATTAATAGGGTTACAATATACAGCATATTGAGAATGACCATCCTTAATATAACCTACTTTCGCAGTTTGAAGATTTGCTCTATTTTCGAATGAGAATATAAAACTATCTAAAGTAGTTTTGTGTTTACTATTTCCTTCCCACCCAAATGGATTATATCCTCCCACTATTTGTTCCGTTCCGATAATTTTTATTACGACTATATTGGCACCTTTGTCATCACATTTTCGATGAAATGCTTCAGAATTATTACCATCCCTACTGGCACGATAAAGCAATTTAAAACTATAATGCATTTTATTGAAATTATATTTTCTGTTATCAATCCAACAGGAAAATATAGAAAATTGCCGTAATTTAACAAGCATTGAATAACATTTTGAATGTCTAGGTGGTTGAATATTAATGTTTAATTTCTTATCTGGTGTCATAGCATATGTTAAGAGGTTAACGAACAAACCCTTCGGTAGCAATTCTTCAAAAGGAAGTACTTTTTCAAGAAAATCTACTGAAGAAATATGATGAAATCTAACTAAAGGGATATATCTATGAAGGGTCCTTTCCATAACTGTAGTTTCTTCATTGCTCCATTCTTTGACATTTTTAGAAATAGACGGGTTCTGAGCAAAACCCCATTTAATTAAACTATCCCAAATATCAATTTCATCCAGACTTAAATCATCCCGTTTTAAAAGGAACTCTAATAAAGGTGCTTTTATACTAGTAAATTTATCAGAATTGATAAACTCTTCGGGGTCATCACAAATTTTTTCGAGATAAAAATTCTGCAATTTCGTAAAGTATTCTTGTTGATAAATCGTTTCAAGAATTTCTATAGGATGATTTTGTAAAAATTCATGACGATCTTGAATTAAATATTCTTCAATGTCGGGAACTAAGGTTTGGAGTTTAAGTGCACTTGCTGCGTTTAAAAGCTTCAATATTTCAATTTCTTCTAATTTCGTCATGTCAATCCTTCCGCAATACATAAATCTGAAATCCAAAGAAATAATATTGTTTGTATATTGTCATAGCTGTTGTACATAATAATCACCTTATTTACCTTAAGATAATTTTAAAAAGATGAGGAGGAATTTTGGGTATTTTTAGAATAAATCTTCCTTCCATTTTTTCAACATTGTCTTTCGTTAATTTATCATAAAAATATTGCGACCTGAAGCGTAAAATATTTGAATGTGCTTGTAGTTCTTTAACGTTTTCATTTTTACCGGATTTAATTATGACATCATAATTTTTGTCATTTTCAAATAATCTCTCATAATCATCTTGCAAACGTTTTAAAGACATTTTTTACAAAAAGTTAAAAATTGAAAAAAAAAAAAAATATTTCCCAATTTTAGCCATTTTATTTAAAGTGTAATTAGATGATCACCTGATGTAGTGTCATGTGAAAATTCCAATCGTCATTCCTGCGCCTATTTTTGACATTCAGTTCTTTCGTTTATGTATTTATAAACAATTTGTAACGTAAGCAGAAGGTATTTATTGAAAAATTATTATGTAAAAATGATGTAATATTGACGCCAAATTTATTTAACAATATCAAATTAATAGCAATGTCAATATATTAAACTAAATAAAATGTCAATCAATAATTAAAACTGTGCAATTACGAAATATTTGAATAATAAAATAATAAGAAAATCGGAATTTAAATTGTTAAAACGACGAAAGCGAAAATATCGCGAAGGGTTAAAGGAAGGTTTCGAGGTGTATGTAGAATATGGAACCGGTTAATTAACCGGTTAAAACGGTTAACATGTTAACCGGTTAAAGATTTTTTTTAACCGGTCAAAATAGATGAATTTAACTCCGGCCGAAATTCAATTGCCGGCCAGAATTAAGATTTTTATGATTGACAAAATATTGTTTAACTCTGGCCAAATTTATAGTACTGGCCAAAGTTAATTTTAACCGGTTAATTAACCGGTTAACAAATATTTTAACCTGTTATTAACCGGTTAAAATTAACTTTGGCCGGTTCCAACCTCTAGGGGTATGTATGCAAAATATAATAAGGGCGATCGTGATATATTGAGTTTTTTAATGATTTCCGACTTGTATTTAAAAAAAAAAAAAAAAAATTATTAGGCCAGCCGGGCATCCTGACATTTTGTCATACTGGCATGGCAAATAATCTTCAAAGGACTAACTGCAAATATCGAAAACGATTTACATGCGAAATTATGGAGTTTTTTCGGGGAAATTATATTCAATAAAGTTTATAATTTTTTTAATATTTTTAAATCGTGAATTTTAAAAAGGTATTTTTTACCAATATATAAATATTATTAAAAAAGAAATCAAATGAACCGAATGAATGATTCAAATTATTTCAGTAAAACATTAAGACCTTTTACAACATTTTCGATTCAAGTGATTTTACCTGATTTAATCTATTATAAAAAAATCTTATTCAACTTAATTTCCATACATAAAAATCTGTGAATAAAATAGTTGAACTTCAAATTTTTTATTAAATACTTATTTTATTTTGTATTGTTGCTATACAAGCAAAGCGATTGCAATGATTTAGGACTAAAATATTTAGCCACCAATTTTATTTATTTGTTATTTATTCTATCTTGCATTTCCGCATGTGAATTCTCACGAATTTATAAAAAGCAAATTATTCATATACCCGATGTTTTCAAAGTAAATAAATCTAATACCGTTTGGATAAAGTCATGAATATTTAAATACTTTATCAAAGGTCAATTATTTTTTATAATTAAAGGTAGCATTTAATTTTAATTCATTCAAAAGGATATCGACTTTTTTTGGTGATTTGGCCGATGAATTACACGTTAACTACAAGCGCACACAAAAAGAAATCTTAAGTTTTTTTAAAAAAATTTAAAATACAATATGAAGAAAGTACACGAAAAATAAATAAAGTGTCTCCTGCATTTGATCTTCGGAAAGCCATCAAATAAGGAGTCATTTTGGATAATATATAAAAGTGTCCTCAATATGTTACCAAATATTTATTACCAAAGAATATCAATATAATTTAAAATTAATGTATATGTGAGAAGCTCAGACCCGAATTAAATAGATTCGTATCATTATCAATTATGATATTTGTTCGATTGGAGAAGCTCCTGAAACTCAAAGTAATTAAGTGACACATGGAATTGTATTCTCTAACCTAACTGCACATAGGTGTCAATCAAGGATGTCTGAAATATCCTTCTTGAACATTTAACGCGTAAGCATGGGTAAGCAATTAAGAATTGCGGCTACCGCGGAAAAGTTTCGCAATTATCATTGTCAACATCGTCTCGTCTTATGCGGTGATTAGAGACAAGTAATGATTATGGATGAAAAATATTCAGCAATTATTTTTCATTGATAAAGCGTTACGATCAATCATCCAATTTTTTATTTATTTGGAAGTTGTGCCGTAAACGTTGATACAGAGAAGAGAATTCTTGTGTAAAATTACAGTTTCGACTTTCAATTTTTTATATTCATTTATTATAGTTTCGAAACCACGGAGACTTAAGATTTTTCTCCGGCAATCTTACAAAAGATATTCATCTCACTAATAAGTAGGGATGTTAAATTCAGTCCGTTCATAGTCCGGTCCTGAAATTCCCAATGGTCCCGAATATGACTTGGGTCATAGAACCGGAACTAGGACTAGATCCCGCGAGTGCAGTCCTAGAACTGCGGTCCTAAAGAATTTGGAACTTTTGGTCCTAGAATTATGGTCTTAATAATTCATAAAAATCGGTCTATTTACCATAATTGTTCAAGAAGAACTATTCTTCTTAAAAGATGGCATATCGTCGATAGAAGATCGTTCTTGTTGAACGATGATGTCGTACTTATTGAACGATGTATCGTTCCTACAAATCATTAAATATTTTATTACTTTTTTAAATTCATTTATTTTTTATTAACGTTATCAAAAGAGCAAAAAAAAAAATTAATTCCTTATATATTTTATTATCTTATCAATATATATATATTTTTTTTTTGTAATTTCTTTCGGGTTCGGTCGCAAGGCAATTGTTTTTTATTAAATTATTATTATTATTATTATTGAATGAATTCTTTTTTTTCAAATATTGCATTCCTTAGGTTATTCTTTCAAGTTGATTCTCTTCCAAAAGTTTTGAACAACGGCAGTGAAGATGAATATGCCTCAGGCCCTAGTTCATTTCATTATTCACTATCGTTAATTAGGATCACCTGTTACAGTTTATAGCTGACATGAATTTAGCAAAAATAATATAAACTTTGAAGGACGCAATAAAAAATATATATATAATTACCGTAGTGGTTAATCGCATCTGAAATAACAACATCTCCTAAAAAGGATCGATGCGCAAATCGTCATCACCTTTCTATTAGGAAAATCATGCTAAAATTTGGGATGTTCCGAAAGATTTTAATATGTTTTTACGGCTCCGTTGAAATTTTCTTTATAATTTTTACATCATAGTTGCATAATATCTTAAATCAGTTATTTTGTTTACGTAAACACGTGTTAAAAATGACCTAACGTTGGTCTAACTAAAATGACGAAAATGATTTTTCTAAACATCCTGCAAACGTTCGTTTTAACGGTCTTGGTTAAAAAAAAAGAAAAAAAAAAAGATTTTTCGGGTCATATTTTTATTGATCCGATGGAAATAAAAATTTTTTGTTAAAAAAATGTATTAACTTCAAACTTATATGAATTTTGTAATGGCGCAGCTGTTGGAATGATTTCTCATATGTGGTTAGAACTGATTGATGTAGTGCAACAAAAAAAAAAATTATAAATGAAAATCATCAATAAAAAAAACTTTTAATTTCTCTTTTTCAAATGAAAATGGCATGTTTAAAAATATTTTCCGGTGAAATAGAAGAAATAACCGATTTGATTATACACTATTTACGACATGATATAAAATCACTTCATTCGTGCATTTTAGTCAATCAAATTTTATGTCGGGTTGCAATTCCCATACTTTGGGAGGATCCTTTTTCCGTGATATGTCCAAGAGGTTGTTCTTATAACCTTCTTGATACTTATTTGCAATACTTAAGTCAAGATGATAAAGAAAAATTAAAGGAACTTGGAATTATAATTCATTCACCCACATTTAAAAGACGTTTATTTAATTATCCAGGATTTATTAAAGTATTGAATATAACACGAGTCGAAGTACATATAGTCAATTGGGTAAACAATCGTTTTATTCCTAGACCATTTCGAGGAATCAAATCAAAGAAAATAACTTTTCTTGAAAAACATGAGGAGGTACATATAAAAAAAAACCCGCTGTATGCAGAAAAGGTGATAGAATTTCTTTGTATTTCATTAGTTAAGATATTAATAGATCAGCAAGTTTCCTTAAACGAGTTAACTATGGGAACAAATTATAATTTCAGTCATTTATTACCTATATCCAAAATAATTTGGATCATCCAGAGTTGATATCTGACCTTAAAAGCTTACATTAAATTCATCTTTTGATGATTATCGTTTAAGTCATGATGAACTCCAACCCTATCTAACTTCCTTACCATTATCGTCTACAATCAAACACCTCAAAATTCATATTAATTCATCTAGACAAAGTTTAACAAATTTGATTCAATCACAATCCCAACTTTTATCTCTTACGATTTACAATACACCAATTTCTATTGAACATTTGTCCAATTCGTTAATTTCAATCAAGTTTGAAAATTGTAATTTTGCAGATACCAACTCATTTGATAGTTTTAAATCCCTTAAACAACTTAGATCACTTCAATTTATTAATTGTATAGGATTAACAATTCAAAATTTTCAGCCACTTCTTAATGATCCTTCTCCATTAAAGTTAAGATCTTTAAAAGGTGTTGGGTTGTTCCCAGGAATTGCCATATTAATTCAATTGGTCGGTCCTTATTTGGAATATTTGGAATTAACATTTCTTGAAGATCCTGCGAGGAACGTGGCTTTAGAGAGCATTATAAAACATTGTCACAAGATCATATTTTTAAGTTTATCATGTTTTGATGAAAAGGATGCTCATTTATGTAACAAGATCATTCACATGAATAATCACTTAAGGTATCTTACTATTGAAAAAGAACCTTTTAGCTACAATCGGACAGATTCAGGTCTTTTAAAGAAATTGAAAATCTTACAAAATAAATTGGATTACTTAAATTTAAAATTTACATTTGATCCGAATGACTTGAAATTATTTTTGGATAATTGCAATCATCTTGTTGGTTTAAAGAATTTATTAGTTAGAAACGACAGTTGCTATGATGGTATCGACACTTTTAAACTCTTGAAAAAATTTGTAAAAGAAAATAAGGTGAACAATTTTGCTTATCAAGTCGAAACGTTTTTTGATCCTAAAAATTCGAGACATCATTATTTGGAGAGATTGGCTGGTTAACTTCAACCTTTTGTTAAAATGAAGAATTACAAGGATTTGGTTGTTAAAATTTCTAATTTTGAAAGTTTTTCATCATAAAATTTATACGAATTTAAGGTTGAGGGAAAACATAATATTTGTACTTTTGCCATTTGCTTGTCCCGAAACAAAATTTTTAAGTGTATTGGAAGAACTATATATAAAAAAAAAAAAAAAAAGTAAATCTCTTAATTATCTGTTTTATTTCATTGAATTAATTAATAAATTTTTTTTTTTGCTTCTCTTTTATATAATGTCAGCAATTTTGATTTATTAAATATTTAATAATTTAACATATAAAATAAGGTTTCCGTGCAAAACACAGAGGCATCGAAAATCGAAACCCGTCGAAATCCATTGATCTGCCGAAAACCCATCGTCGAAACCGTCAAAATCCCATCGAAATCCCATCGTAAACGAAAGGTTTCGACTTTTAGAAATGGGATTTGGGATTGCCTCACAACCTTAATATAAGAACATATCAATAGAAAACAATATGGGAGGTTTGCTATTAAAATCGAGTTACGAACAAAGTAAATCATATGATCTGTAACGTGATTTTAATAGCTTACCTCCCATATAATCTCAAAAAATTTATATTGATTCATTCATAAGTCACGGGACACTTGGCAAATTTGTTGCCGTGTACTTGCCGGCAACCCGGCAAATCAGATTGATAAATAATAATAATAAACATAAAAATACCTAATGTTTTATAATTTGGCAGTGATCCGGCGTCTTAAATAATTTGCATTTTTGCGTTATTTATATTATATCACGTGTTTAATGTATTTATTGGCAACCCGACATAATATATTTATTTTAAGTAAATTTAATATATCAGTTAATGAAATATACAAAAATTATGATTACTTTTAAATTCCTCTGGTTTAATTTTTAACATTACGTACTAAAAAGTTTCCTATTTTCAATCGGATGTTGATTGCTTTGGCGTGTCTCGATATTAATTAATAACAAATACTCCTTATCGTGTACTTTTATCGTTTTTATGAACTATCATCGACTACCATTTATTTTTTGAAGCCTATGACAAATACAAATAAGTAGATGGATAAACGATGTGATGTGTTTGATAGCCATCATATTAATCTTGTGAATTTTTTTTTTTTAATATATAATCTGCAGTATATTAATAATCATATTTTTTTTTATTTAGATTGGTTTAGAATATGAACATCGTGTAAGAAGATAATAGTGTCAACATTTGCTTCATGTGAGATCCTTTTCCGTATTGAACATGTGACATTTACTATTGCTGGGCGAGATAGAAGAACCATCTCTGTCATTTCCATAATTTTTTTCACCAATAGTTCCTGCATCTTTTCCAGAAATGAAATCTGGTCTGTGAGTGTTTTCTTTTTCTTGGGAGGACGCCTTATATAGTACGTCCAAAGCTGTGCTAAGGCGTCACAAATTGTGATTATAGGATTTGGACGAGTAAAGAGTGGTGTAGATCAGTATTTTTCGCGAAATTTGAATCGTACCGTACCGGTTTTCCATATATTGTTAAGTGAAACCCCTATTTATTTGTTTTGGACTCTTGCCATATAAGCCGTGGGAAAGACGAACCGTGTAATATTGGGGTGCGCTGTCGACTAATTAAATCAAAACTATGTATGATCCTATAACAAAAATTACTATTGAAGATTTTTTTATATTAAGCTATTTTATAGTATAATTTAAATTATTTTATAATAAATTTAACGAAGCTATAATTTCTTTCTTTAATAAATCTGGATCTTCTTATCATATTCATTTCAGATTTTTCGAAAATACTACAAATATCCGTCTCTTTTACAAAATAAATCGCTTTTTTAAAAAAAATTCATTAATATTCCAAAATTAATAAATTAAACCTTCTAAATAAAATAAAACTTCTTTTTTACGTGAAAAACGATGTATTTTATGTTTTCTTAAAGTTATCGTGTACCCATTCAACTTTACTGCGTTACTTAAATGTTAATAGAGTACAAGTTATTAAATTTTAAAGATTTCGGTTATTTTATTAGAATTATATTAGAAAAATTGCCGAAGTTAAAATGATCGTCAAAAAATCTCTAATAGTAAGTTTTACTATAGGACTATATATAGTTTTGTTAAACTATGCACCCAGTGTAACATGTAACAATGTGGGCTATTTGCTATTTATAGTGGTTAAGCGCGTCTACAATTTTAAAATTAAAAATAAAATATTTTTCTATGCAATACGAACAGATTTCAAGTGTATTTCTTAGTGTAAATAAAATAGAGATTTCTTGATAAGGTATATGCTACACAATTATGTAGTTCTTTTTATTAAAGATGATTATCAGGATAATCTATATTTCATCTATCGCATGTGAGTTTTAACCAGAAATAAACCATTTTTAAAGATAGAATGGATAAATTCTATTTAGCATGTACACTTGAAATTCAAATGTTTTTCCAAAATAAATTAAATAAATAACAATTTAAAGTTGTAAATTATTTATTAACAGTTCAAAAAATTTATTTTTTTTTTTTTTTAAAAAAAGAAAGACAAATGCAAAATTGTCGATCAATAAGGTGTTAATAATATTTTAATTTAGTTTTAAAAATAAAAACTTTTTTTAAACTGTAAATCCAATTAAAAAAATAATATTCCTTATTTATTAACATTTTAACGATAAAACTTTTTTGTTTTGTTTAAAATAATACAAATTTCTTAAAAACTAAAAGTAACGAAAATCTTAATTCATTTATTTAAATTTGTTCATAAACTTCTTGTTTAAAATATTACAAAAATTCTTAAATCATATTCTAAATCTTAATTTGATTAATTCATAAAATAACGAGCTTTCATCTATTTAAATTGTTTTTTCTAATATTTATCTAATAATATAATTTAACGTCACAACCTGAAAATTCGTCGTCACATTCTAATATACTTTCATCATTTTCTTTAGAATTAAAATGACTTTTCGGATTAATAACATTAAGCTCTGAAATTACTTGATCAATATCTGGTCTCCTATCTGGTTCATGTTCCCAACATTCTATTTAAATAAGTAAGTTAAATATTAAATTTAATAGATTGTAATAAAACAATCATATAATAAAGTAAAAATTATTCTTACTTTGATAAAGCTTCACAAATATACCATTTGTGGTTGAAATGGGCTTTTCTCTTGCACCTTCAAGAATTTCAATCTGAATAGAAGTATCGCCTGTCGTTTCAAAATTGAAAGGAGATGAACAACTTGTCAATTCCCAGAATAATACTCCCACGCTATAAATATCGGATTTTTTGTTTAAGTTGTATTCAGGATCTTCAAAAATTTTCGGATCCATATAAGGTATTACACCACGTGATGCTTTCGTATCGGATCCTTGTAGACACGAACATCCAAAATCCGCTAATTTTATTGTATTTTGATGGATTAAAACGTTATTGGAATGCTAAATATAATAAATAATTTTAATAAAATAATTAATAATACAATAAATCAAATATAAAGTAATAATCAATAACTTACAAGATCACGATGTATAATTTCATTATCATGTAACCATAAAATTGCACTCGCGATTTCGTTGGCAAATTTCAATTGGCTTTCCCAGTTAAAAGTCATGGCGTTATCTCTTAAGTAATTTCTTAAAGTTCCGCCATCAGCATATTCAAGAATAAGTTCATAATTTATTTCATCTAAATAATATAAAAAAGGTGAACAAATACTTAAATGAAATTATTAAATAATGATACTTTTTACCTTTTAAATTAGTAATTCCATAAAATTTAATTATATTTGGATGAAAAACAACTTTTTTCCTCATAATTTCCATTAAATGAATCTAGCAAAGAATATATAATTAATCGGAATAATAATATATATATATTAATAAAACTATACAAGTAATATCAACCTCGTTTAGAATCATATCTTTCGCAGAACCTTCGGCAAATTTTTTAATTGCATATTTTGTTTGTGTACTTTTCCAAAATACAGCATAAACCGAAGCTGAAACTCCAGAACCGATTATATAACTATTTGTAAAATCTTGAGATTTATGATAAGGAATGTCACAACATTTGTGGCGCAGAGTTACGCCAACAACTTTAAAGTTTGGTGTAACATGGTACTAATATCATGTCAAAAATTAAATCGGCGAAAAAAAAAAAACCTTTTTTTGGAAGGATTTTCCTTTTTCGCGCGTACAAAGGCATACGCAGTTTATAAACATAACTTGTAAATGAACAATACAATAATATTATACTGTAAGTTGTGAATTAGAGTCCGGTAATTAAACCAAATTTTCAAAATTTAGTTAATGTTAAAATAATTATTTCATTGAAAAATAATTATCAGGTGTAATATATTGTGAAGTTAAATTACGACTGCCTTTTTGAAGGAATTCTCTGTGACTTGTATGACTAGTATAAAAATTGTTAAAACCAAAGGCAAAACAGAAGCTATATTATTTTTCTGCCGTTTTTATATAATTTGAATGTTACGCAATATGTATAAAAATGCTTGTGTTAATTACGAATTCCCG